GTCTAACGTTTCATTCTGTAACTCAAAATGAGTCACGCCGTGACAGACCATTAATTTTAGCTGTTAAATAACACGTGTCACAATCTAGTAATTTTAAAAATTTTATTTAAAATTAAAAAAATAAAAGTATATATTTTAAAATAGAAAACACAAAACTTTTGAAATAACCCCAAAACTTTGAAAACCTTCATTTCAACCCATTATTAACCTTTAACCCCGTCACGAACCACCCTTCTTCGACCGGTGGTGGTGTACACCGCTGCTCCCACCGAACTCAGTAGCAATCAACGACCTCATCCCGACCCTCAGATCACCCGAAATCAGTCACCGTCGAGCTTAATCGCAATGAAACCATTCAGTCGCCCACCTCCAACCTCGGCCACTGCTCGTCGGGAGTCATCACCACCTAGCCCAGTGGAAACGCCATCCCGGATCAATCATAGCCTAGTCATCCACTCACCTCCAGTTGTCGCCGTTCGTGGTGGAGTTGAAAGTTCGATGAAAAGCCCTAATCACTGTTCGATTTTTGCGATTTCCAGTCGAAATCATCGCCTTTCCACCTCACCGCCACCGAAGCTGAGCTCACCGGTCCTGCCCGACCAAAACTCAACTGGTTTGGTAAGCCACCATCGCCGAGCGGACGAGCTTAGAAGAGGGGCGGCCGAACGGTTTAGGGGTTAGAGGTTGAAATGAAAGTTTTGGGGTTATTTAAAAAATTGTGTTTTCTTTTTTAAAAAATATATATATTTTTAATTTTTAAATATTTTTTTAAAATTATCATATTGTGACATGTGTCACTTAATGGAGAAAACTAACGATCAAGGTGTGACCCATTTTGAGTAACGGAATGAAACGTTAGATACCAAACTGGAACAAAAAAACATTAGGCACCAAATTAGAAAAAAAACTTTAGACACTAAATTGGAAAAACGAGCATACGTTGGGAACCTTTTGTATATATAAGCCTATTATGTTACTTACATCATAGGGTAAACTACGCATTTACTACATAAACAATCATTTTTAGTCTGTTTTAGTATTTAAACTTTTAAATTTTTTTAAAATCGTACCGAACATTTAATTTTTATTTCGTTTTAATTTAAAATTTTCGTTTTATTTTATAATGGGTTAGTACAAATTACAAGGTTTTGGAACCATGGAGTACATGGTTGTACTTGACATTGACTTATTGGCAAGAAAGACTTGTACTGTATCACCATTGTGTAGTACATTTGAAGGCATGAACTAAATCACTGAAAAATAGATTTATAAGCTGCTTGATTCTGCATTTCCATGGCATGAGCAAATGTTGGCAATTGGCGGAGGAGTCCGACCGGGTCGACCCGAGATCAGACACATCACGTTTCCGATTCGAAGTAGTTAAATCTTATCTATAAGTTTTTGACCACTTCGTATGTTCTCAGGTCGACCCTGTAAGAACCCCCTCCGTCATTTTTGTGTGTGCTCTCTAAGTTATGAGTGAATTTTCGAATAAATGCGATCAAATGTTGGTAAAAGGCGGAGGAGTCCAATTGGGTCGACCTCAGAACACACGACGTTAACTCTCGGATTTGAAGTGGTTAAATGTTATCCACGAGTTTTCGGTCACTTCGTGTGTTCTCAGGTCGCCCCTGTGGGACTTTTCTTCGCCCTTTTTCATATAATTTTTAAATTTTATAATCGATTCCGGATATATTAAGGTATTTATCACCATTTTCTCTCTTTCTTTTTCTTCATATGTATGATTTACTTCGAAGAATTAATTTATTTCCGTCCTTTATATCTGTATTTTAAACATAATTATTATTTTTATTTAAGAGTCAAAATTATTAGAAATTAGTCTAAAAAACATAAATTAAAAATTTTTACATGCACGAATCAATATTCTATTATATATTATAATAATGATAATGTCAATTAAATTTAAATTTTCTCAATCTTACGTGAATGTATAATATTGTTAGGCCTGCTTTCATGGCCGAAGATATGGTAACTTGTAAGTACGGAATTAGAATTAAATATCGAGAAAGATCAAATTATTTAGTTATTATTTTATTGTCTCGTCGTAATATATGTGTCAAATGTTGATATTTGTGGTTCTTTTCACATCGATAAATTTTTTATAAGTGTCAACTTTATTTAGAATTGTATTACCGCAGATAATATCATGTAAAATACGATTCCAATAATAAATGATAGTTCTATGTTTATTAATTCATATTACGAATTGTACTCTTTTAATCTTCTCAAATTTATTAGGCTTATGAAATTAATTTTTTAGGGTAAAGTATACAAATGGTCCCTCAATTATAGGGTACTTCTTTATTAAATCATCCGCCCATTAAAAGTTACAAAATGATCTTCCGGTTATAGAATATTGTTAAGTCACTCTACTATTAAAAATTATAAAATGTCATCAGTGAGAACCGCTTAATCCTGGTTACCACATTCTCACCTAGATTGAAGTTTGGAGCTTGCTGTAGGTTTTGTATCCATGTACAACTCCATGTTCATGGCACACATGTAACAATTTCCTCATACCTTCATAATTGGAAAAAAAATATGTAAAATATCAACGCACGATTACAAGCATATGTAAAAATGACCTTTAGCGACGAAGGAAAAGATATAGCAGCGAAAAAAATAAAAGAAAATATGTTTTAGCGACGAAGAAAAAGATATAGTGGCGAAAATAAAGATAACAGTTTTAGTGACGTAAGAAAGATATATCGGCTAAAAATAAAAGAAAATAGTTTTAGCGACGAAAACAAAGATATAGCGGCGAATAATAAAAGAAGAAATGTTTTAGCGATGGAGAATAAAAAAAATAAAGATTTTAGAGTCGAAGAAGTTACCTTGACAATCTCCAAAATAGTTTTGATAACCTTAGCAGCCGCACGTTTCGTATAATGTCCTTTAGCGACGATTCTATCGACAAGTTCACCGTCCCGGCAAAGCTCCATTACAAGATAAACAACTTCATTATCCTCAAAAGCTTCCTTAAATCTAACCAAATTCGGATGCTTGGACAAATGCTTCATGATCTCGACTTCCCTCATTACGTCTTCGATATCGATATCCGTTTTCAGCTTCGCCTTGGATATTTTCTTGCACGCTTAGGCATCTCCGGTTTCTAGCTCGATACATTGATACGTGATCCCGAACTCGCCTCTCCCCAAATCATTCCCTAACTCATATTTCTCCAAGATGTTCTCCTCCAACGGATCTTTCAAGACCTTGATGTTAGCTGATCGCGTGCTCTTCGATTTCCATATGCATTTCGGGTTGAAATAGGAACGTTCAACTTTTATAAAATTATTAATTTAATCGAGTTTTACTCGCCCTTAATCATACAAAATCTTTTTAAATATATTATACCATACTTTTTCTTCTCGTTTCATATGTTTTGACAGTATAACAATGTTGAATTATCTATCAATGGAAAGTTTGAGAGCTGAATGAGAAGGGTAGGGTCGTGTATTTTTATTGCATTGTATTTATCGTGATTGTAGACATAACGAGGGTTATTGCGGTCATGTAATAACGCTTTCGAATGATGCCGTTATATAACGAATGCTATTCTGAAAACGAATCGCTATTTAAATCCCTAGAAGTTCTTAGACCAGTATCGATTTGTTCGGTTAAAACCGAGTCCATTAGGTCACAAATTAAGAAGATGGGTCCAATTTGCAAAGCCTAAGATCAGTTGGGGTATACAACTACCTTGCCTTGGTAGAAACTTGAAAACCTAGAAATTGAACCGATATAGCTATCGTTAAAATAAGAGTAATTATACAAATATCGTTTGAGAATATTTTTTTTCTAATTTTTATTAAGTTTAAAAATAACAGTAACGTACCACATCATATAAAACTAACGAGAGGTAATGTTAGAGAGCTTATTGAAAACAAACTGAAAGTTCGATGACTATATTGTAGATTTTAAAAGTTGGGTGACCAAAATACAAGCATCCTATACCATTTATGTAGTTTACCCCGAAAAATAAAATTTGATTACGTATTTTTATTAATCTAGCGTTCTTACAAGTGGTAGTATTTGTTCTAAAGATTCTCAACCATTTGACAATAAACGCTAAAATACCCTACAGTAACTAGTGCTCGAACCTAAGAATGAGGAAGTTTATGGCACACTATTGGCTGAAAGCACATTAGGTGTACACCATGACCATTTCCTCACCTATTACCTTGACCTTGATGTGGATGGTGAGTCCATCTCGTTCGTCAAGTCCAAATTGCAAACTGTGAGAGTGAATGACCAGAGCTCACCTAGAAAGAGTTATTGGAAGGTCGTTAGTGAAACGACTAAGACCGAGTCGGATGCCAAAGTTGAACTCGGGTCGGACTCGGCTGATCCCTTGGTTGTGAACCCTAACAAGAGGACTAAAATGGGTAACCTCGTCGCTACTGTTTGATCCCGGGATCGATCGCAGGTCCGCTTTTGACCGACGATGATTATCCGCAAATTCGGGGAGCCTTTACCTAGTACAATGTGTGGGTTACGCCGTATAACAAGTCGGAGAAGAGGGCAGGGGGAACGTATGTTGATCAAAGCAGGGGAGATGACACATTAGGTATCATCGTGTACCATACCAAGAAGATTTCCCTTTGATGCCGACAATAAGCACCGGATTCGAGCTCCGGCCGGCCAACTTTTTCGAGAACAATCTGGTGCTTAAAGTGAAAGCTACCCACACTAATGTCCGGTGGCCTAATTGCACCATATGAAGCCTGGGACGCAAGCTGTGAATCAGCTTAAGAACACTAAACATCAGAAACAATGAATTTGTTTGGCCAAACTCTCTTAGGTTTTAAAGAAAGAATCCTGATTTTCTGCCATTACAGATTAGTATGCAAATTGGGTTGGATTGAATATATCTTATTTCGAATCGGATCTAATCCGAATGTGACTTATCGAACAAAACAAATATATCCTTAGAACAATCAAGTTTATCGAATCGAACATAAAATCTGACACATCGATGAACATAAGAAAACCAACACAGTGATTAAATTACAAACACAATCACATATCATGGTATCATATTGAATCACAGATCATAGACCTGCTTGCCAGTGAACTTGACCTCAATAGGGCTAACATTCTTCCCAATGCTCCTAAAGTTCAGCCCTACACCTTGTCGGCCAGGGTTCACCTTCTCGGGGTACACACCATCTTTGGGGTGCAAATATTGGACCTCACCATTGGGGAACACCCTGTAGAATTGGTACTTGATCTTGTACTTGGACCTAAGCCTAGTCCCCAGAGCCAGGCACTGCTCTTTCCTAGCCAACTTGAGCAGGTTCGGACCTTGTCTCATGATAGCTGCACCACCCGTCGGCATCTCGAATATTTGTTCCTTGGGTGACTCCCATGTGATCACATAAAACTCTTCCACTTGTGCCTTACGTAAAAGTCCACCCGTACTACCGCCGAATATCGGTGACGGGGTGTTCGGGTCGAGCTCGGGTGTGGTGAACCCGACCGGGGCTTCCTTTGTGGCGGTCGTCGACTCAGCTTTCTCTTCGGTTGCTTCGGCCTTGATGGTGGTACGTTTTGTGAACTTGAAGGTAGGGAGTTTTACGGATGACGGTTGCTTCCATGGCACGGCGACTCGGTTGCCGGTGTGGAGGGTTGTGGGAGTGAGAAGGGAGGCTTGGGTTGCCGTTGCCATTGCCATTGAGAATAGGGAGTGAAATGGTATTTTTTGTTGGCCAAGTTTGATTTTGTTAGAGATGATCAGATTAGAAAAGAGAATAAGTGGTGGAAAAGTTTGGTCCTGGATAAGGTAGGATGTGTTAGACCAATTAGATTATGTGATTTTGATACTTAGGCTTACCCACACCTCACCCTTTTAATTTATTTAAATTTTAGCACCGATCAATCTATATCAGTGATTAAATGGATAGTTGTTATCTTTAGAGATTATGAGTTCGAGCATCAAGAGTATTTGAGCGTTTATTGTCAAACAATTCAAGTCTTTAAAACAGAACTGCTAATGTGACATTTTATTTTTTTTCCAATGATGAAGTGGTATTTTCTTATGGTGACACATTAATATTACCATTAAGTTTTTAATAATGAATACCAAAAAGAAATCTGAATTAAACATTAGGTATAATTTCAAAAAATTAAAGTAAATTTTAAATATCAAAATGGAACAAAAATAATAATTTAGATATTAAATATCTAGTTTACCACAGTTCCGAACTCTGCAAAGAAATGAAGGGTTCAAATGTAGTTACTTAAATATATGGATATATGAACATGCGTACATATGTACGTATGTATATATGTATGTATGTATGTACGTCATATGTATGTACTTACGTACGTACGTACGTATGTGTACGTACGTATGTGTGTATGCACTCATGTATATATGACTTGCCTCTTAATTAGATCAACAGGGAGAGCCTGGTCTGTGAAAACCCAGTTCTTGTAAACAGAAGAAGACATTTCCAGGGCATGTTTTCCCGGAAAGACAGTCAATTCGAATACCCCGCCGGCATTGATGAGGATCTGCCGGGCCAAAGCGTTTATGTTCATCGTGTCCCGGAAATGGGGATGTAAGAGCTTATATATGGGGTGAACCACACTCAGCTGCCTATTACTTGCAATTATGAATGGCTCAATCACAGCATGTGTGTTCAACCTGCAAACATGGCAAATAAGCATTGTGAAGCCATATACAACTTCCATACATTTTAGTACGTTTATTGAGCTTTGGCATTGCAATGTTATACCAATGAGAAATGAGCTGATGGTAGCTGGAATCGTTCACGGCAGCATAAGCTTTGGCCAACTGCCAGACCGAGCCTTCGATTCCGTCCTCTGCCAGACCCGACGTCTGAGTGTGGTTTCGTCACCCGTCGAAACAACCGCCGAAGGGTAAGATGCCCAAGCTCGGCATCCTGCGTTTGAATGAGTCTCGGCGTTTGGTCATTTGGGGCTTGGGAGCCATGTTCATTGTGCTTTATAAAACTCTCTTTGTTGCGTGGTTTTCAGAATCGGACCGGTTAGCGAACCGATCATGTTATCGGTTTACTGGTTCAATCGGTTGAATCGGTCTGACCGGTCGGAAGAACCGAACGATGTCATAATTATTTAAAAATTAAATAAAAATACTAAAAATATTTAATAAAAAATAATTTTTTATATCACAAGTCATATTCAAAGCAAGTCATAACATATATAAGTTAAAAACCATAAAATTAAGTGAAACAAAATGATTCAAATTAACTACAACATAATATTTAAGGTAAAACATATTAAATAATAAATATAATTATATAACTATAATTAAAAAATAAATTTGGGGTTAAAAAAATCATAACAAAATGATATTGTTTGGTTTAATTTTTTTAAAAAAACAATCTCACATGGCTAAGAAACATAGAAGAGCATCCCAAAAGTTTAAAGAGTAAAAATATGAGAACAAAACAATCTCACATTGCTAAGAAACATAGAAGCGCATCACAATTAACTTTTATAAATAATAGAGGTAATTTGACATTCAAAATCATGGAGTCTTTTGATGAGCATTGAGTGAACTATTCTTTCACTTCAATTAAGCTCGAATTTTAGGCTTCAACCGAGCTTCTAATTTTTTTTTGAGTTCAAACCTTTTTGAGTTCAAGTTTCAATATTATATTTCGAGTTTGAGTTGAACTTGATAATTTTTAGCTTGTGAGTTTGAGTTAAGTTGAGCTTACTTTTAAAGTTTTTAAGTTCGAGTCGAGCTCAGCAATACTCGAGTTCGACTTGGCTCGTTTAACAAACGACGTTGTTTGATTTAATTTTTTTTTTAAAAAAACAAAAATCCCAGTTTTTTCCGGTTTTCAGCACTTCCGATTCGAACGGTTCAGCGGTTATGGTCGGTTCACTAATAACGGTTCAACCGGTTTAGATTGAACTGAACTAAACAACGGTTTCCGATTGAACCGATTGAACCGGCCGATCCGGTCCGGTCCGGTTTTCAAAACATAGCTTTGTTGAACAAAACATTTACTGTTTAAGGTGAAATGTTTATAGATACGTGGAAAAGGACTCCACGTGTTAAGCTTTTTTCGCTTTCATCAACGGCTGTGATTATTAGTCTGTGATCCCCACCAATGGGATATTATCATTTTCAGTCCAAATTATTCTTTGCCCTTGTTCTAAGCTATGTTAGTTTTTGTAAGAAGTATTTGAAGTCAATATTGACAACAGGGTTTCAAATCGTGGTCACGGTCGCGTTTTCAGTCATTTCGGGTTAACTGTGATTGTGGCCGTCGCGGGCACTATTGAGGGTGTAGCGGGTAACTCGGATGGCGGCAAAATCGCTATTTCGCTGGAGTTATCACGTTTTCGGACTGTGATTTAAAATCCTGATTGACAACACATACACACCTTACAGACTATACTACTTGAACTCAATATCTCAAATGATAATAATACTCTCTTTAACTACTGAGATCACTCAATGGATTCATTTGTAGTCAATATTTGTGTCTGGATTCGAAATATCACGAACTTAAAAATGATTAAAACGAACCAAACTCAAATTATTAGGACAAGAAGTTACTAAAACATAAAATGATCTGAATCTCTAGTGATCTAATCCAAAAAACACGGACTTAAAATGACTAAATTAAAAAAAATTAAGCTCAAAATGACTCGAACCTGAATCGACATAAACTTAAATGACAAAAAAGACCTTGACATTCTAGTAAATGGCCTTCCTTTTCTTCTCTTGTTTGTTGGGAAGGTAAAAGAAAAGAAGTAAATGGCACCCACTATGCTGATGAAGGTGGATGTGATGTTGCTTCATCTTTTATTATGGCAGTTGCTTTTTGATGTTTTTATATGCTTTGTTTCCCTCCCAATACCGACCCTACTGTTGAATGTCCGTATCTCTAATATTTCTGATGTTTGAATTCGGAATTTTAAGGAATAATAATAATTCTTTTATCATCGAGGTCATTCGGTCCGTGTATTTATTAAAAAAAATTAAATTTATTATTTAATCATTAATAATATATACAATTATGAGCATCGAATATTAAATCTATGTAGGTAAAGTTAGTAGGAAGGGAAAGTTGGACCATCTACTTTGGATAAAATGGATAATGTCTCCATAGTGAGGGTTTTAGCATTTTCCAAGATCTACCATTGCTTCTTTTAATATATTGGAAGCTATTGTGCACCGAATGTTATTATATTTTAATTAATTATTATCTAAATATTTGAGTTTGTAAAAAAAAATTGTGATATGATTTATTAATTTAATAATTAAAAGATTCAAAATTTTATGATTATTTTAAGTTTAAAAAATATGGAGTACTCAATAATTCAACGTGCATAATGGAAGGCGCGGATCATGATTCACGCCTTCCGTATGTGTCAGACGTTCACCATACGCACTTTTCTTACGTGGCGCTAGCTTGAAGAAAACCCCGCAAATGTACAGTTGGCAATTTGCTCTTTATTTTCATCGTGTCAAAAAAAGTACTAGATAAGTAATATTAGGGAAGAGAGTACCTGATAGATAATTATTGGATCTAAGGGTGATATTTCGATAGAAACACCCTTAGTGGTTAGTAACATTAACCTCCTTGTATACAGAGTTTAAATCCTACTCACTTTCCAACTAAAAAAATATTAAATAAAAATTCTCAATCATTTGACAATAAACATTCAAACACCTTGTAATTACTACTATTAAGTGGCGGATCTAGAAATATTTTTTAGGGTGAGCATGTATATGTTAAATGTATAAAATTTTTGAATGAGGTAAGCATAAATAGAATTTCAAGGTGGAAACCATCAATAAAATATGTCACTAATCGAAGAAAATTCAGATTTCAAGGTGGATACAATAGCATTTCAGGGTGTACATGTGCCCAAGCTCAATCATAAGTGCATCCGCCAATACTACTACTTGAACCTGAGACATATAAGAATAATCACCATTCCTTTAACCACCGAAGTTGCTTTCTTCGTAAAGTTAATATTTATTTATGTAAGAATTAACCCATGAAGTTTACAACCTTTTTAATGATAATGTGACACTATGAGATTAAACCATATCACTAGGACTAAAAATAGATAAAAATCTAAGTTCAAAGACTAGAGTGAACCAAATAGAAATTCATAAATCAAATTGAAAAAACAAATTACTAAATTCAAGGACTAAATATTACATTATCCTAAAATCAACAGGTAAATCCTGTTCAATCAAAAGATTACTCCAATTTCCATTAAAATATAATTGTGATATTAAAGGGGCATTCACCCAAATTTTGTAGTCAAAAGCCCCAAAACAATGATTAAACATGAAGGATAAATAAAATCTCTAGTTTCTGTTTGTATAGGTTCCCCTACTATATAACATATATACAACCTTCTAAATGGGGGAGAACTTCAATGGTAATTCATGAGGGACAACCAAATTGTAGTTCAGCTACTTGTAAATGAGAATGACGACGAAGGACGACGAGTGCTTTCGTCGAATTCCTAATCTTAATGCGTTGAAGCGGATAAAGTCTCCGCAAGTTGCTTATCGTGCTGCTTTTTCAGGTACCTCTGAGCAGTCGCATTGACGATCTTGACAAAGAAGTTCATAAGCATAAGCCACACGATGGTATTCCATATCGAAGTAAATGAAAAATCCCACTTTCCCTGAGGCGGTAGAACGGATTTGTTAAAAAAAATATCGGATTTGACTAAGTAGGCTAGTCGAGTAAAACTCGGGATTAAAATAGATTTTTTGTACCGGCTTAAGGAAAGTACCTTGCTATTTGAAGGCACTGGATGAGGGGCAGCCAAGTACTTCTCTTTGACTGAATGGAGTTTTGCTGTGAGTGCGGGCAAGGAAGAACCGAATCCGGGTGTGAGGCTTAGCACCCAGATCAATTCATTCTCTATCCAGTCTAGGAGTTGATTATTACAGACAGAGATAATAAACACCGTCTGCAAGAAAAGGAAACGATACATACTTCTACGATGCTTGCAGATTTCAAATCAAGAAAATCAAGCTTCATTAAGAATAATAAAAATATATGGAGCTCATTTGTCTGGTAGAAGTCAATTGCACCAAAAAGGGTTGGAGCATTTTGGACAATGTCAATACCGAAAGGCAAACAATGAACACAAAGAAAGCATCATAGTTGAGGTTCAGCTTGTATGTAACACGCAATGAGAACATCGCAATTCACAGACCTGCATGTGAGTTTTAATGATTGCCTTCCCAATCAATGTAGCGAGAAAGAACTTCCAGAATGGAATCCCAAATTGTCCACACATGATGCCAGCAAGGTCAAATAAAGGATTTGGGACCTGAACATGATTCAGTTCATCAACAGCAGGTTTGCATGATAAATAAATCAAAAAATGGCACAGATAGTATTTATAATCCGCATTCAACTCATATGGAACACAATTCAAGATTCTCTATCTTGCTCAAGCAACATAATACCACACTTCACAACTGACGGGGAAATTCGCACATTATATTTATCTTAGCAACAATGTTTCTAGCTTGAAAATTTTACTGGATGATATAGTTAACGTCCTAAACAAGGATTTTCTCCGAAGAAAATGCATCAGAACATTGTTATTTTATGCCAGTATGGCCGAAGGCCCTAGGTGTGCATTTATTAACATGCATCCAGAAAATAAAACAGAGATATAACTGTCGGACCACTAAACATGCACTAAAAATAAAACATTTTATTCTGCATCAATATTTTGCATTATTCAAATTGATGTGCAACAAATGAAAAGAACAATGAAATTATAACTGACCGAGGCGAGCACTAAAATGGTGAAGAAATTCATGTGTTGAGAGTGGGATAACAGCCAGCGCTCGATTTGTCTCAGCCGAGTAGCTATGACTCCATTATCCTCACTTGATGAATGATCCATTTCTTCTAAGGCATCAATTCTGCTGCCTGATAAAGCAGAAGGTCAACATGAGCCGGTTATTATTCTAACAGTATGGAGTGCTAGACGGAAATCTAAATACAAGTCTTTGACCACCAACAATCAGACAAAAAAACAATCAAGGGTCTGAAATTCATGGAGAAAAAATAAAATATTATATATATTTTTAAAAAGGGGGTAACTACAATGCAACTCAAGCAAATTTGATTAAGAGACAACATTTAAAACCTTTAAGTTGGTAATCAAAGTAAAACTTCAAGATAAGTGGGATCAAGGAACTCCTTTGCACTGTCAGTACCATAAAGTCTTAAGTTGCAAAGTTAGCATTATATCACTTATCAAACCCAATGCAAATAAGATTGGGGCATCTTCCGGAAATGCCCTCATCAGCCTTCCATAAACAGATTCTTCTAGCAAACCTTGTTATTGTAATAAGGTACATAGTGTAAAGATGTGATTCCCACCTGCCCTTGAGATAAAGTAAGGAGGAAGCTCTCCAAGTGCAGTCCCAAGACCCCATAAGATAGACTCCACCTGCACCTGAGGCAATATGCTGCTAATGGGAACCCTTGACCCATGTGACGATGAAAATAATGGGGGCCCAAACTCTCTGCAGGGTTTATCCAGCCATGAAGGACCTCTCTTTAACTGTATTGTATCATATGGAGCACTCTTCAGGTCTATTCGTCCACATTGCATTGCTTTTATTGTAAACAAGGCAATATGAGGACCCAAATAAAGGACAAAAGTGTGCAGACCGGATCCTAGAATAAGAAAGGTAAATTAGAAAAGCACATGATTCCGATCTATTTCTTCTGGTGTACACAAAATTTCCTTCTGTATCAAGGCAGTATAAACATTAAGCAGATCAGATTTCATAAAAATTTCCTTGGCATATATTAAGTGTGAATAGCAGAAACCAGATAAATGGATTTCCTCCCTTTCATCCAGGAAAAGTGTTTAAAATGCAGTGGTACATCATACACAACAATCTTTGAAACAATCGTTGAAATGTTATTTCTAATAATCACATTATCCCAGTTTTCTATTTTTCAACTACATTTGGTAGAAACAGATTAAACAAACCTTAGCGACTATAAAATTTAAAAACAGCAATAATTACAAAGAAATCCATCTACAAGATTAGAACTATGCTTCAATGCAGAAGAAATTGTGTAATTCCACCATTTTACATCTGCTTAAGTCAGCCAGTGTTGAAAGAAAGAGTTAAAATAAACAAAGCAGGCTGGTATAACAGCAATGAATTATTCATTGTGCACACTCCTCCAGACAACATAAAAGATATTCTGAAATCAATGTTCTTACCAAGACCAATTGAAGATGCAACACCAAGTGCAATCCACCATAATCCAAATCGAACATACTTAGAAACTTCCTCAACATGCTGATGAAAAAATATAATCAAGGCATCAACTGTTAATTATTGTTTCCATTAATCTGATTAAAATAAATGATGAAAAATAAGAATGAGAAACAAAGACTTCAACAATATCGAGCCGAAACTTACATGTAAACAAAAGGTTTCAAAAATATATACTATCATTAAGACACAATAAGAACCGGCAAGACCCCACCCCACCCCCTCCCCTAACCCCACACAGAAGGAAAAGAAAGCAAAAGTTATTTTAAAAAACACACACACACACACACTAGATTTTTTCTATTACTTGAGAGAAAACAATAATAATAATGTGGCTCAGTGGCTGTAAAGCTATTTTACAGCTATCAATACGAGGTTTACAAATAGAGTTTTAATCCTGACCATATATTTAAACTGAATATGTAACTAATCATCCTAGCCATTCATCTTTGATTCTTTATATCTAATAATTTAAAAATAAGACAAATAATAATGATAAAATCTCCTGTGCAACATTTGCATCCCTCAATTGCATAGCTAAATTTAGCAGATAATACAAAGCACTCACTCTTAACAAATAAAAACCATTCCGACGGCATAAAGAAGTACACTGCATTATATCAAAAGAAAACCATGACAAAGAATGATGGATTTAGCAGGATAACCTACAAATTTGATTACCTTCTCATGAGGACCCTCAACGGTCATGAGCAAAATTCCAAGAACAGCTATTAGAGTGCTCGAAAGCATAAGCCAACCACCTTTTTCCAAAAGATACGATACTGATCGAGTGAAATACTGAAGGATAGCTAGAGTGAAAACCTTCAGTGTTTTGAAGGGCTGTGTAGTCAAGGTTAAATTTTCTAATTCAAGACGATATCTCTCACGAATATCTGCAAAATTTAACAAATCTATCAGCTATGGGTCCAGAAAACTCCATTGACTAAACATTTTCTCCTTATACGGCAAATCAGAATAAGCTAAAACAAGAAACAGTCATATGATATCCTCCTTTAATTCACTAATCTAAGATGCAGAAAGTATTCAATTGATAATTACCTTTTTGTGCCTTCAAACCCAAAATCTACTTCATTTTTTTTATCTCTGTCATACATTCAACTCATTTTAATCAACCTAATTATAAACCAGCATATTTTTTCGGAGGAAATCGGTTAATTTAATAGCTGATTTTTACAATATTACAATAGTAAAAAAACTAATCTAATAAATGAACTAGACAAATATCTTAAACGATAAAGGATCTAGAAAAACCCAACTTCAATCAAGTTCGTGAAGTAGAATTAAATGAGGGAAAACCCCTCAATGACACAAAAAACGAACATAAATGGAAACAAAATTTCAAAATTTTCAGGAGGGAAAAACACGTAAAAGTGAAAAAGAGAGAACTTTCCATGTATGGATGATTCCATTTGTTGAGCAGAAGAAGTACCACCTTTGCCTGAACCCATCTCCTAGCTCACACACTACGCTTCAATATATATATTTTTTCTTCAATTTATTCAAGAAACTTGAGATTTTCGTCAATATCTAACACTTTCTGGTGATGAGAAAAGCTATGAGTCTGGGCAAGAATCTGGCGGCTTTAATCGTATAACTTGGAATGGAGTCAACCCCTTCTTTTCGGTCACCAATAATAAATTCAAAGAGATTTCTTTCGTGAAACAATAGAGCAGATCTAGATAAGAAGAAGAAGAAGGAATCAAAATCTGAAGATTAAGCTGTTTTAGCGTGAGTATCTCTTCTCTTCTTACCTTGAGCTGCTGCCTTTTTCTTAGCTCTCCTGCGATTTTATCAGGAGGCACTTGGAATATTATAGTTTGATCCATTTTCACATGCCGAAAGTTTTAGGTTAAATTCTAAAATTAACCCATATACTTTACCAAAAAGCCTTTATCAGTCCCCTAAGTTTAATTTCAGTGAATTTTCAATCTTTAAATCACACAAGGTTTTTTGACGATGGTCTACATTTGATTTCGAGGGAATATTATCGGAACTAAGATTTTTTTAATTGCATACATTCGTGTTTATAGTAAGGATCCAAGTCTATGTGACGTGTAATCTAATGGGAGGCTCTTGTCGGTGAATAAGATTATTGAAGTGTAAATTATTATAACATTTAGTGATTTATTTGTAATTTATTTGTATAACGTTTGTTTATATTCATTTATTTAGTTAAATAAATGAATATGAATAAATTTTTTTATGTTCATTTAATAAGCAAACGAATACAGGTAAATGTATAGTAGGTTTGTTTATGTTCATGAAATAGTTCTTTGACTATAGATATTGTTTTGTTGAGTCTATTGACTATTAAAAATTACAAAATGATCATCCAACTATTCATATGTTTTAAACACGTATTTTTCATTAAAAATTGGTGATCGTCTTAGTTTGGCGTAACTTGTTAACTGAGATATGATAAAATCTGATCTCAAAATTATTTGAGTTGTATTTAGTTTATCACTCTTCGATTACATTATGTCAGTATTTGAAACATTATATCATCGATCCAGTGTTTAAAAGTAACGATAATGCCAATAGAGATACTTAAAATATGATTTTATCATATCTCAATCAAAATAATAACATTCAGTTTAAACTATCGTCAATTTTTTTTTATAAAAAAAAGACACAATTAAGACATATGAATAGTAGAAAATATTGCAATAGGGAGGCATTTTATGATATATTGAATTTTCCTTTTTAAGGAACCCGTAGGGATTTACGGTGAAGCTCAATGATCAATCGAATATTTTGTAAAGAGGGGTTGAAGTGGATTTGAGGAAAATTTAGGGATTAAGAAGATTTATGGATGAGAAAATTGATGCACAAATATTTATAGTTGTTCGACTTTCTCAACCAAAGTCTATATCTACTACATTAGCTCATCACCAATGATTTTCTAACAAATTCACTAATTTGTTCTTTCTTTTTCAAGGACAAAGAGATAATATTTACAAATCTATATATTTTCAATGGCGAAGATATAATCACTCCTCTTTTACAAAGGTTAAGAAATGTAAACAATAAAACCTCACAATGTAGGTGTTTATAAATTAAGCTCACTAAAACTAATATTTACAAGAGAAAGGAAAATAAGAATGAAAAACTCTTCTCTTGTGTTTGATTGCTTGGATAGGTGTTCTAACCATTCTTCAAGTGTCCTCTTGTTTTTATAGGTTGGAATGTGTTTGTGGTTGTTTCTAGCTGTTGGGGATGATTTGGAGCCGTTGGGATAATTTTTCTGCAAAATAAAACTGCCGAGGACAGGGAGTATCAGTACTCTTTTAATGAGTATTGGTACTTCATTTATAATATTTAAATAAACTAGCCGTTGGGCCTGACCAGTATCGATATTATGCTCATGGTATTGATACTACTGTGTAAAGTAGTATCGGTACCCCTTTGAGTATTTATACCTATTTTGCATTCTGGAATTTGAACAATTTGGAAAACACTGGTAGTATCAATACTACCTAGAGAGTATCAATACTTCTCTTACCTTTGGTATCGGTACCATGTGAACATAATCGATATTGTTCATGCAGTATCGATATTGTAATAACAATATCGGTACTATGTATCCAGAAAATCAGTTTTGTGCTCAAATTCTATTTTAATGGGCTTTGAATTATTTTTGAAAACTTTGAACAAATTCAATTCAAGTCCTAAAACATTTTGCCTTAATTTGTTATATCACAATATTATAAAACATGGTTCAACAGAACTGATACAACGTGATAACCCCTTGTTTCCTCGAAAAGGATCGGGAGAAATCTTATAACAACCATTTTTATTATCGAGAATACGAAGCCAAGTAGAAGACAAGTTTGGGACATAACCGGAGAGTTGGTTGAAGCTGAGGTCTAAATATGATAACATGGAAAGCTTGGAAATCTGAGAGGGGATGAAACCATTCAAGTTTTTCAATTTCCTAAGGGATGGAACCTTCAAGTTGGTTATCATCAAGGGACAGAGTTTCCATATTGGTTAATTGACCCAAAGCAGAAGGAATGGAGCCAACAAGCACGTTGTTATCTAAATCCAAAATAACCAAATTTGATAGAAGTCCAATTTCTGATGGGATGGATCCCTTAGTTTGGTTATCAACAAGATACAAAGTCTGCAAATTGGTTAAGTGACCCAAATCAGAAGGGATATGATCATTAATATAATTATTGGAAAGGTCGAGAAACTTTAAAAGGGTAAGGTTTCCAAGAGGAGGATGTAACTCACCAGATAAATCACAAGAGGACAAGCCAATGCACTCCAATGCATATGGATCACCTATTCCAGGTGGTATATTTCCACCATCTTGACTACCACTAAGATCAATTTTGGTGATGCTTCCTGCAGGGTTGCATGAGATACCAGGCCACTTGCAACGTTGTGAAGTGTCGTTGCTATGGTCATTCCACCATCCACTCTCTAACACAACTTTGGCTTCAGACTCCAATGATGACTGCTCTGCTATTGTATCAGCAAAGGAAACAAGGATGTTAACCCACACTTCTCCTAGAATAATGTGATGGGCGAATGATGAGGCCATGTTTAATTAGCTATGCTTAATTATCTGCCAGAAATTTCTTCAGAGTGAGCTTGATTTTAGTTTTCGTGATAGCATCATGAAATTTCCCGAGGTCCACAAAACATATAAAGAGATTAATCTTCAGCCGCACCGCCATTGAAGAAGTACCTTCGTCAATCGAATGCCTGAAAAGGCTCACATTTCTGGATTTTAGAGGCACAAGGATTGGTAATCTTCCCAGCAGTGCCAATATTGTTAAGTTGCATGCCCTCGAAGATATCAATTTATCGTATTGTTAAAATATCACCAACTTTCCCTATGTTCCAGAGAACACAGAGAATTTATATTTAGCAGACATTACGACAGAAGAAGTGCCATCATCATCGATTGCAAGCCTTCCAAGTCTTATCCAGTTGAGTCTAAAAACTTAAACATCATCAGGTTACACTCTTATGGCGCCGTCTCATCTTGCACTTGATCTGAATGGTTGTTCAAGTCTAACCATAAAATCGCATATCTTAGACTATCTGAGGATGCAATTAAAGAATCTTGATATAAGTGGGGTAAATATCATAGATGATGGTGGGGTAAATATCACATTTTTCGGTGACAGTCATTGTATAGTTAAGTTCTGCATACAAAAATCAAATAAAATCCAATTAACTCACTTTTAATCAACTCACTGGTCCTTATCATTAACTGTTTTGTCTCGACATTTACATATCGAAAGCATTGGTTCGTGCCAGTATCATTCACTAGGCCACGAGCAAGGTTGTTGCTGTAGCTCGTTCCATGTCTAAGGATATGAAGTTTGACTTAGGTAGTTAGGTTCCACTAGAAATGATTCTGCTTCTGTGCTGTGGATTCAATTTTGGCTCAGAGAGCATTGGCCGTAACTTCGGTTGTTGATTTAAGCAATCAAACACCAACGTAGCAACTTGAACAAGATTTTTTGCAACGAGTTGACTTGTTGGAAGTGGTAAACGACTGTCGAACACATCAATTAACTTCATATTCACCAACGAAGTCGGTGACAATGGTTGCGACAACACTTCTTCTGGATGCTTTCCCATTAATGTTTCAAGAGCCACCACTCCAAAACTATACAAATCATATTTTTCGGTAACAACCATTGTATATATACTTTTTTGTATAGGCATGTTCTGTGTCAAGACGTTTCTCTACCCAGCGACAGAGAGTGCAAATAGTACTCCCAAGTGTAACTACTCTCGAAAAAGTAGGTGTTTATCTTCCTTGAATCATATGAAACACTAAGTTGTATAGTAGCCACCAATCTTTTAATGTGGTGAGATTGGTCACTAAAATATTATATTATTCTAATAAAAATCCTGAGAATAATATTAAAATAATACAACAAAGGTTCTGCTTACCAGAAAAATAAGTTCGGGAGTCAGTTACGTATGGGGAAGGATTAGCACCCCACAACGCCCAAAATTGGTATCGATGTTTATTAATTAATTTGTCTTTGCCATAAAATAACAAATTTTATTTAATTATAATTATACAAATAACTTAAAAAAATAACTACTTAATAATATTTAATAAAATATTAAATATCCTATTGTAATATTGAATATTAAAACTATATAGATAAAATTATCCTAACATAAAATATAAATACTAATATTATAATTAATCTTATAATAATAATTAATGATTAAAATATAAAATATTAAAATTAATTAACCTAATTCGAAATATTATTAAAAATGTGTACTAATAATGTAATTTAACCTAAATCATAATTCGGGACTAAAATAAAAACTATTAATATTTAAGGGACTAAAATAGATATTTAGCCTAAATATATATATATATATATAAACATAGCAGTGACTAAAATTAAAATAACTAAAATACAAAAACAAAATTAAAAGGTACGAAAACCTGATTTTGGGACCAAAATAAAAGGTTTACAAAGCTGGAGGGACCACGATTATAGTTTACCCATACAAAAATTACACAGAAGCCCCCTCCCCAAAACGATGTCGTTTAAGGAGGGTATAAATATACCCCAAACTGGCCATTTAGGCCAATTCTCCCCATTTCCTCTCTTTTGCTTCTTTCTCTTAGAGAGAGAAGTTCCTACTTCTCTCTAGGATTCCCTCCATCGGCCGGCCACCATGCACCGTCGATCGTCGTCACCGCCGACCACCACCCACTGTGGTCGAAAAATTTCAAAACCCACCAAATCGAAGCCTTGTTTACCCTAAACCTAAATTTGGCCTCCCCTTTGGCTAAAACCTAACAAATCTTCGTAGATCTAGCCGTTTACCTTCGAACATACAACTTTCCGACGACTCTTCCGGGCTTCGACGATGGCAAGGTATGCTCCTTCTCATTTTCTTATGTGATTTTCTGTTGTTTTATTGTTTTCGTTTCTGTTTGGTTCGTATATGACTCTCGTCGTTCTCTATGTTTGTGTGTGCCGCTCTTTTTCTCGTTGTCTCTCTCGCTGTGTCTCTCCTTTTTTCATTGTAGGTTCGGCCTTATACAGGCCTCAAAGTTTGGCTGTAATGATGATGAAATTCGGTGAGTCACTAGACCTACGGTGGTGACTCACCATAGACCGATGTGTTGTACGGTCGAGATACTTCTTCTGGAACCTTTGGGAGAGCTCTACTGGGTTCTGGAGAGGCGGTGGAGACATGGCTTCCCTTGGTTGGAATAGCTGGGGGCGACCGGAATAGGCCCTAGGGTATAATGAAACCCTAGGGCTCCTGCTGGATGCATCTGGACACTTGATATGCTTCCTAATCGTGCGGTGGAGATGAGCTGGCGGCGCTAGAGTTGTGTGGAAACCCTAGTAGCATGTGTGGGCCTTCTCGCGGGCCTGCTGGATATGGGCCTGGCTCGGGTTGTTGGGCTTGAATCAATCTGGACTCGAGTCTGGTCCTAGCTCGGGTTTGGTTGTAACGGGCCTGGATTTGCTTGTAATTTGGGCCTTCGGGTCTTTATAAATAATAATAATAATAATATAATAATTTATATAATAATAATATTATATTATAGAAACGTCACTCGAATGAAAATTACTATCGACATTTTGTATGCACAAATCAAATAAAAATAAATTCAATTAAATATATATACTTTTTGTAGAAAAAAGTGTTGATAAATGAAGTTGAAGAGAAGGGAAACATCACCTGGAGCTATATAGCCACGGGTTCCAACAAGAATGATGTGATTAGATTAACCAAGATCCAACATTCTAGCAATTCCAAAGTCGGCTACGAAGGCCTCAAACCTTGAGTTCAATAGAACATTGTTGCTTGATATGTCTCGATGAACTTATTGGATGGGTGCAATCATGATGCAAGTAACACGAAGCATGAGCCATGCCTTTGATGATCTCAATTCTTTTCATCCAATCCATTTCCACAGCTTCCACTTCATCTCTTAGATTGTAGAACAAACTCCCTTTCTCCATGTATTCGTATATCAAGAACATGGAGAGTCGGTGCAGGCAAAATCCATGAAGCTTCACGATTTTCCGATGTCGTATTCTTGTCGAATACAGGATTTTCAACTTCTAGACAATTAAGTTTCTATACATGCTGCATATTGTATCTGAGCTAACACTTAATACTAATTATATAACGATTTTTATTAATTCAAAATTGATACTTTATAACTCATTCAGAAAGTTTTAAAGTTTAAGATCAATTCAAAATAAATGTTAAAGATCGAGGATATTTGGTCCAATTACCCCTTAACATAATAATTTATTACATAATCAAATAAATATTGTTTCTATAGTACTTTATAGAGTTAAGCATCATATATCCCTAAAATATGACACTTATTTTAAATTGATCCTTAAACTTTTAAACATTCTAATTTCATCCCCAAACTATATTTCATTCTAAATTAATCCTCAAGCTTTTAAACATTCTAATTTATCCCCAAACTATGGATCTCGTTCTAGATTAGTCCCCAAACTTTTGAATCTTTCAATTTTTCCTTAAATTTATTCAAATATGTAATTTGTTTGCACAAAAGTTTAATCTAAATTTTATCTTTTAAAACATATAATAATATAACTTGGTTGATTTTATCAACAAGGGATGTGATTAGTATATACGTATAATTTGGGATGAAATTGAAATGTTCAAAAAGTTGGGGACCAATTTAGAATGAAGAACTTAGTTGGGGATGGAAATGGAATGTTCAAAATTTTGAGAATTAATTTAGAATGACAGTCATAGTTTAGGGATAAAATTAAAATGTTTAAAAATTTAGGGTTCAATTTAGAATGGATGTCTTAATTAAAGGACGTATGATACAATTAATTGTATTTTGTAGTTGTAAGCTAGTTTTAAAACATTTGTATTAACGAAAACGGTGGTTAATTAAAATGCAATGTTAGATATAATTTTAAAAAATTAAATGATCAAAATAGAATTTCGTAAATAATTATATGGCTAAGTACGTAGTTTATCCGGAAGAAAAAACCAAAACAGGCCATTCGACCGACACCATGTGGTTAATCTATCCAGTTCCATCCCATACTGCAAAAGGGATCAAAGAAGATGGCGTAAGCCCAGATTCAATCCCAATCGGACGACAAAAACTTATAAAAATAATTAGGGTAAACTATGCATTCATTATTTAAACTATCAATTTTGATCTATTTTAATACTTAAATTTTTATTTGTTTCAAAATAAACATAAATTTTAATTTTGATTTCATTTTAGTACCCACCGTTAAAAACTTTAGTTTTTGTTTCATTTTATTATCTAGTTTAAAATTTAGCGTCAAGTTTTGAAAAGATTAAAAATTCAGGTATTAAAACTTACCCCACGCGTTTAGGCACTAAATACTTTAAGTTTTTAATGATTTGGTACTAAAATGAAATAAAAAGTAAACATTAGGTATGATTTTAAAAAATTGAAAGTTTAGATACCAAAATACACTAATACTGATAGTTTATATACTAAATACGTAATTTAACCAAAGATTTATCACAGACTCCCAAAACTTGCTTCAATTTCTCAAAACTTTTGTTTTTCTTTCACGTTTCTACAACTCAGCCTCTTCATTAATCCATACCCATCTGCCCAAAACCTTGGGTTGGATAAGCATTTTTCTACAGAACTGTAGAATTTCGGTGCTAAGAAGATAAGCTAAAGATGGCGTTTGATCTTGGGTCTTTAGCAGAGGCAACATCAGGAGCCATCGGAGCTCTTGTCAGCACCTCCATTTTGTACCCTCTCGATACTTGTAAAACCAAGTACCAAGCTGAAGTTAGAGCTCACCACCAACAAAAATACAGGTCCAAAAATGCCCAGATTTTTGGACCTTGTTTTGGGTCCCACTTGAAGTTCTTAGATATTTTTGTTTACTGCCCCTTTTACAACTATTCCCATTTGAAGTTGTCTGCTTTATGATTGTGAATTTCTTGGAGAATTATTGATTTAGTAGCTTCTTTTTTTTGATAAATTTATGAACTTGTTGAAACGATTCACATGTATTTGAGAAGCAAAGATTTTTTTTTTATCAGTGTTGATATATGCATTGGTTCATGCAGGAACACTTCAGCTGTTCTGTGGGAAGCAATAGCTAATGGTCAAGTTCTTTCATTGTATCAAGGTCTTGGGACCAAAAATCTGCAGTCTTTTATTTCACAGTTCGTCTATTTTTATGGCTACAGCTTCTTTAAGAAGCTGTACTTGGAGAAGACTGGAAACAAGACTATTGGTACTAAAGCAAACTTGATTGTTGGTGTTGCTGCTGGGGCATGTACTGTGATAATTACACAGGTACTGAAATTTTGATTATATACATATATATGTATGATTGTTGGTGTTGAAGTTTCTTTTGGTGAGCCATTTAAGATCTTTGTGTTGTTAGATTCATTAATAGAACTGGTTATGAATCTTGTTAGATGGGGTTAAATGTTGTTTTGGAAATCGGAACTCGAATTTCGTTTGTTTAGGTGGAAAATGGAGTAGATTCTTTTGCTGGAATGTGTGGGAAAGTTCTTAATTCCATGCAGCTCTGTATCCTTCCTGTATTTTGTTACGGTTTTCTTACCGCGCCTTTCGAAATGAACATTCTGTTTTCGTGTTACTGTTGCCTGTTATCACAGCCCCTGGATACAGCGGCCTCAAGAATGCAGACAAGTGAATTCGGCAAGTCTAAAGGACTGTGGAAGACGCTTTCCGAGAGCTCTTGGAGTGAAGCATTTGATGCACTCGACATATCTCTTCTCCTTACTACGAATCCATCTATTCAGGTACTGATACCAAGTATATGGAGTCGAATTGTTGATCGATTTCGAGATCCTGGAAACCGGATTGTTTTAGTTTGTAATTTTGTTTCGAGTTGATGGGAACATCTTGCCTCCTCGGAATCCTAACATTGCGAGTTGAATGTGAGTATGACATTACACTGTTATATTTTCTGCAGTATACTGCATTTGATCAATTGAAACAAAGGCTACTTAATAGGCAGCTAAAGGAGAAAACTGGTACTGGTTCATCTCCCCAGTCTCTTTCAGCCTTCTCCGCATTTGTTCTCGGTGCAGTTGCGAAGTGTATCGCAACATTTGTGACTTACCCTGCGATAAGGTAACTTTGTCAATTCTATTCGGCATCCTCCAGCGGACAGTCACAGTTCCTTATACTTGTTATCCGATATTTCATCGATTGAAGTGGTAAGTTCTACTTTCTTTTGTTAAAATCGTTCAACAGGTGTAAGGTCACAATTCAGGCTGCAGATTCGGACGATAACGATGAAACCAAGGAAGCTGGATCAAAAAAGAAAAAGACGGTTACAGGGGCGCTCTATTCGATATGGAAAAGGGAAGGGCTGTTGGGATTTTACAAGGGAATAGAAGCACAGATCTTGAAGACCGTTCTAAGCTCGGCATTGCTTCTAATGATAAAGGAGAAGATCTCGAAGACGACATGGGTCCTATTGCTTGCTCTTCGAAGGTATCTTTTTACGGTCCAACCTAGATTAAAGAGTGCTTAATGACAACCCAAAGAAGCTAGTGATTGAAGCCCTGTAGTTTCACTTCAAGGGTCTGAGATTCAAGTCCTGGTAAAATCACCCCTTCCTCGATTCGTAATGTTCTCGATAAATGAGTGCTTAATAAAGAATCTTCTAGATGCATCTGCCTTGAGGAAGAAATCTGGGCAGATTCATGTTGTGCAATAACTGTAAGTCTGTTCTATACAATACAATGGTTAAAGGTATATGCATTTGCTAAAGTATAATATCATGTAGCAAATTTATTGTTCAATAGTAATATGAATGCCATCACATAGCAAACACCAAAGAAACAAAAGATTGCTGCTGCTCATATCAAGTAGGAAGCGATCACGACGAGGAATAGCAGGTGATGAATTACGCTCATCTCGGAAACTGAACTAGCCACACTAGTAGTAGTAGCTGTAGCATAGTTTCCTTCAGCTGTGCTGGTAGTCAGAACAACAACGATCCAGTCTCCGTCGGAGCCGGTCCCAATGCCTGTATACTTGGTTTCATTGAGATTATCGGAGTACTAAGACTGCGTAAAATTAGTGAGCACAAGGCTCGGAACCAGATTGGGAACACAGGCAGGCATTACTGCAACGTCCCTCGTGACGGAGACGTTCAAATGGCATTTGGCTAGAAGGTTTGAGTAGTTAGTGAACTGTGGTTCAGTGCCTGAACCGCGTTGGCACCTGTGGAGTTTGTGCAAGGTTGGTTCTTGAATTCATCAGCTAGTTCATCAGCAAGGCACTGGGTAGCTGTTGATGCTTTTAAGAGGATTCTCCTCCTCATCTGTTGATTGTCGAGATGAAATCCAGTAATTAGATACGTATCGGAGATGCTAACAAAATATCTTCATTCCGAAAACAAATTCTTGGTGAAAGAACACAAATAAACAAGTTCCATTCCGGGTGCCAATGAATATGCAAATGCAATCAAAATTTTGAACTAAATGTAAGAAAGACAATGCAACTCATGAACTTACTCGAAAATCGATCAATTATTCCGTAACGAGGCTAGATTATCCCACATTCTTGCTTAACTAGTCGAACCTCATCAACCATCTAACAGTATCAGAGAAAAATACTTATTCAACGCAAGTCATTCAAATTCACCAACATTTCTCTCATGAACGACATTTCAGAATACGGGAACCGGTAACCGCTTTCTGTAGTCGGAGAGCGACACAAAAGCCTCTAGTTCAGAGAGGAAAGTGCCAGACTGAACTATATCAAACCCGGATTGTAGTAATATGGCTAAACGACATACGTGTACCTGAATCAAGAGACGGTAACCTAGAGAACAGTAATAGCACAACCACCCTCGGAAGAATCTACCATACACACAAATCATGTCAAAATAACAAGTGTGATGTGGGATATCTCCTCTAGTTCCATCAAGCAGGGCCCTTATGAAACCCCAAGTAGTTCAAATTTGTTAGTTCGTGTGATCGTAACTTTGATAGGTCAGGGTTATTGGCGAAGTTGCCGACGATGCAGGCCGAAAAATCTCAAGCAGATTCAAAATGCTACTTAGAATTTCACTCCAGTTATAAAGGTTTAAGGTTCTCTCTTAGGTGCTCCTTTCAACTTGTTCCATATATAGGCTCTTCACGAGATAAGATTTCATTGATTGACGCATGTTTTCCGGTGAACCGCCCGATGACACGATCCATAGCTCGTGAACTTAACACATTCCAGCTCCAAACAAAACATGAAAGCTATTTAGAAGTTGATAACTAGCCTCATGGTTGTTCTAATCAAATTACCCTCGTTTTCTCATCGACCGAAGGTACCGAAACCGCATTACGACTTTTTCTGAATCTGGATTCATTAGCTTGATCTTCAAACCAACCTTTGAATGTAAAGACTTGAACCTATTACCTCGATCATATTTGAGGGGCTAAGATAAGCCCTAATCATGAACTTTCACAAGCTGCTAAGACTAGTAAGCTTCTAACAAGTTTATCATCGGATTCAACATCGGTAGGTCAAGTTATCATTCGATTCCATGATTTACTCCAATCAAGAGTAAGGAACTAGGAACAATGTCAAGCAAAAAAGAATTGCAACTATCCATGATCTTCAAACAACAAAAACCAAAATGCTATAACAGAACATCATTTGAAATACATCTTAGGTTAACAATTAGACATGCATACATACATACATACATACATACATACATACATACATACATAGAGTTTGAAATGGGTTCATAACTAAGAATATAAAAGCAAAACAGCACATTCAATAACCATATAAGAAGAAATGAAAGAATAATAATACCCAAATTGAAAAAACAGTTAACAAGGACGAATAACAGAGAATTCAGAGTAATCAACAAGGTCAATGGTCAAACAACAAAGCAAAAACCCAGATCCAGAAGCTCGAAAAGGTTTACCAGTGTCACAAAAGACGGGGGAGCTGATGAAGAGAATGGAAAGGAATAATGGAAATAGGGGAGAGATATTCGAGCATGCCATTGCTTGATGCTGATGAGATGCAGAGACGGGGAGTAGTTCTGTCAAAAAGTAAAGAGCTTTACTGAAGACGTGTCATTCAGCTTTATTTTGGTTCAATTCGATCTTAGTAATAAAAAGTATTGTTAGTTTCTCTAGGGACGCATAAAGGATTACGGGGGGAATGAAATCTTCATCTCCTTAGGTTTGTTTCGCCATTAATTATATTATCGATAATCTTTTATTACTAACAATAAATTTTTTAATATATTATCGGGAATATGATTACTCATTTCTTTAGGTATTGTTGGATTACCGGCGTTTTGAAATAAAATACATTTAATTTTATTTTTCAAAAATATCATTATTCTGTCGTTGAATAATAAAAATTCTATTAAAGTTATCCAACAAATTTATTCTTAAACTATTTTAGATTTACAAAAAAAATCTATAATTAAAATTTTATATAAAGTTCAGGGTTAAAATAAAATTTTGCCCTTTTATTAAACCTATTTATCTTTTTAATTTTGTAAAAAAATTATATAAATTTTATGAATTTAAATTTTTTAAAGAAAATATATAAATTAATTATAGTAATATTATATTAGAATTCAACTTGTTAAAAAAATAAATATATAATAAGTATAATTTAGTAAAATATACATTCCAGTAATCATTAACTTCTTTAAACAAACATTGTAATCTTACATTCCTGCTAAACCAACCAAACACAAAATACAACATTCTCAGTAATCTTATTCCCCGATAATCTTTTATTCACATTGATAATTTTACATTTCGTGAACCAAACACAACATAAAAATTACGAGTTTAATCTCGATAATAAAAAATATTATTAATCTCTTTAAAGATTATGAATTCACGAGTTTTAATATATTCATAGAATATATAAATATTATCAATAATTTAAAGAGATTATGAATAAATAATATTTTATAATTATTTTAAACTATTAAAAGGATTTTAAATAAGAATAAAATCGAAGTTAAATGATGTAAGTGTAATACACCTTTGTTTATTTTATCTTAAAAATTGCACGTGGTAGTACTTCAATTTCACTTTTTTGATAATATTTTTAAAATATAAGGTAAATTATATATTTAGTACATAAGCTATTAGTTTTAATCTGTTTTAGTATCTAAACTTTTAATTTTCTCAAAATCATACTTAAAGTTTGGATATAAAACAGACCAAAACTGATAATTTATATAGTAAAGACGTTCAGTTTTAATGACGGATACTAAAATGAAATGAAAACTAAACGTTAGACATAGTTTTAAAAAATAAAAAAGTTAGGTACTAACATGAATCAAAATTGATAATTTAAATACTAAATATAATTTACCCTAAAATTTAAGGCGTGCTGCATAGGATTAGCCCAAAAAGCAAAACAAAATAGGAAACTTACCGAACCTGTCAAAAAGAAAAGTTAAAACCTTCTTCTACTCCCCTTCAATGATCGTCGGCGGGGTCCCGGTTGTTGCCGGAGATCTCAAAATCCAAAGAATTGATGTTATGGGATGAATATGGGACGAATTTTCTTTTACCATCTCAATTTTAATTCGAAAATTAAAAGATTCCATAATCAAAAGATTCTTTATTTTTCACGCAATACTTTAACAACTCTTATTTAGAGATGATAGACGAAAATATAATTTTACGGATTTCAATCGCACTCACTCTAATTAGGATGAAAATAGATAATTTTAGTAATTAGTTGGTGGGTGCATATGTAAAAAGTTATATCGACCGTGAGTAGTATATAGGTGATGGGTTTGAAACCTTACAATCCCTCATCTGCTTGCAACATATTCGTCCGCCCACTAACTATTCACCATGTAAATTTTGGATCATTATGAACATAGATATAATTTCAGATATCATTCTATAAATCTTAAGAGTTTATAGGACATTTCTTGTATTTCAACCAAATATTAGGGTATAAACATTTTAATTGAGTACCACTGTTTCTCTTATCTTAAATTCTCAATCTTTAAAATTGAGGTGGATATGGACTAATACAAGATGGATAGTGGGTATCTAGTAGGGTAATAGATGTGGAGTGAATTTAAAAAAGTACCGCGTAAATAATTTTACCTATCATGAGTTGTGGATATAGTGACGGATCCAAAAATATGTTTTTGAGGGTGGACACACATAGGACAGTAACACAATTTTTGAATGAGGGTACACAAAATTTCAGAGTAAACACCATCAGTAAAATAAAAAACTAACTAAAGAAAATTCGAACTTCAAAATAAGCACCAATCTATTCAATTAATAAATTGAATACTAATAGTTAAAAAAGAAAAACGATTAATCTTTATTTATTTAATATAAAACTGTTAATAAGAAAAAAAATGATAATTACATATTTATCCTTCAAAATTAGAGTTCTTCAATCCATATCAACTATCTAAAAAGAGACCAACAACCAGTTGGTTTAGTGGGATGAGACACTAGGTCCTTTAAACAAGGTCGGGAGTTCGAATCCTAGTATTTGCGAATAGAACAAACTGGGTTGGGAGGGTTGCCCTCGCCTCTGCAGTACCCAATCTGAATTAT